GAGTCATGAGCCCAACCCCAAATATATGCAATGACTCTCTTAGACCATCTCCACCCAGGGAGGTAAAATGCACGGGAAAACCAAATTTACCTCCCCAAGCCCAAAATTCCCGTACCACTGGGGGTGCTAAAGGGGAGGTAAATATAGTTTCCCCCCCTTGGGTTGTATAGCATTGCCAGATGTTCAATTGCTATACCAAGCCATGTACCTCCCCAACCCAACGGTTTCACAGGGTCATCCTGGTGAAATCCGGACTTCCCCCCCCCCTCCGTGGGAGGGCCTTTCACAAACCAGGAGTGTGGATAGCACCCTGCAGTGGAAAATATTTTTTCCAAGGGTTGCTATCCGTCCGCCGCAGTCCCCAAGTTGGTAAATTTACCAACTCAGATGACTCTGCGCGGTGGAGATGGTCTAAGTCCTGTTGCCTGTTGTAGGCACAGGCGCAGAGCGCGACCTCCTGTTCAGCCCAAGGAAGGTATGATACCGCTCAAGAATCTCTGGGAGAGGGTTTTGCTGGGCTATGGGTCAATGCCATAGTCAGACAGGCAATTATGGCGGCATTAGAGTGTCACCTGGTCCGGCCCTTGGTAGATTCATTATCTGTAAGCTTTCATTCATGCAACACCTGACCAGCATAGTAATTGAGTGTCTCAAAGCCCCTTACTAGATTATGAATCATTTATGAATTGTAGTAAATATTTGATAAATCTAGTTTACTAGTTATCCATGAGGACCCTACTATAACAGAAAGATTATTCACTCTTCCTACACTTTTAATCTTGATCTCACTCACTCACACTTTGTAGTTATAAAACCAGTAATGAGTTTTTGGTTCACCAAATCAAATGGAGCAGCTGGACATACAGAGATGGGTTAAAAAAGATACCAACCAGGACTGGGGGGTTGTTCTGACTTCCGAAACGCTACATTCACAACATAAAATTCAAAAATAACGATAACTAGAAATGAACTATTCAGATGGGGTAGTCTAGTGCATAATGGGGGAAGGGAATGCAGAAAATTAAAAAATATATCTTATCAATTCCAGGTGAAGCTCCATTCAGAGGTTTTGCTGGAAATTTGGATGGCAGGAACGTGTGTGTGATGAGAATGGAATTCTGGTGGAAACTCATCCAGAAAATAAAAGGACCATTTTGAATGGCAAGAGAGTATTCCCTTGAGCTTGACCTTCCCCTAGCGTGATTTGATTGATGAGCAGACATTGCCTTGAGACAAACTTCAACTGATTATGCCAATTTTCGAATGTATATGACTTGTTTTTCCGTCCGCGCTAACCAATGAGGGAGCTTTGAGTTGAAAAAGGTGATCTTCCAGTCATCCCCATTTAACTTTGTTTGGCTTTTATACCTTTGTGGCCGACATTGATCATGAAATCTGTCAAGTACGCATTGTACTTCTCAATATAACTCTTCTCGATTACTCTTGCCGACCGATAATCCCTTGCAAGCTTTTGCCAATGATAAATTGGGGAATAGGGTAATAAGGATGAATGGTATTTGTGGTCATGTTGCTTGTTATTTGCATCGATTATCGCCGCCAAGCAGTCCGCGAGAATTAGCAGGATGTCTCTTGTTATACACCCACAGTTGGTATGACAGCACCCGGTTTCTTTTATCAGAGTGCCATCAGAGCGATAGACCTTGACCTTTCCACAAGCATATTCACAATCCCAGAACTCTGTTGGTAGTCTGACAGGTACAGGGAGACCATCGAAAATAACGTAAGCTGCCCCCGGTGGGTACTTGTCAAGAATTTTTTCGACCATCGCCCTTTCTGCCTCAGTCATATCCCTCTCCATTTTGTTTATTCTGGGTGGCTGCATCTCGCTTCTCGAGTAGCGTAAAGGATCGTATCTTTTTAAATATCCCATAGGATCCTTTTCTCCACTTGCGAATGGTTGACGCAAATCGTAAATTGAAACGGGAGATGGTGCTTGCACGGTCTTGCTGATGGGGGAGATTGAGGCATCTCCAATGGGGACAGCCAGAACATATGTTGGTATTAAGTATACGAGCGTCAACATGTGGAGGCTGAACATTGTAAAGCTCTACTCAGGGAGTGTGCTAGTGTGCTTAAAAGGAGGCCCGGAGCTGGATAAATGAATAAAATGTTGAGTAACTCAGAGATTGGGTGACAAACCGGAATTTCTTGGGAGAGTCTATAAGCACGAGCTACCCAAGTGATCCGGGAGCCTTTCTCACTGCAATCGTACTAGCATTGAGGGTAATCTCAGTATGCTCCTGGGGCAGCATCCCTCGACCCTACAAACTGAATCTGCTCAATAATTGCAGTCTCAGCGCCAGGAACGCTAACAGTTCCTCTTACAATGTACCTCCTACATACTCTTCACTGAGGCAGGCCTTCAAAACTGTATCCATACCAAGGGCAGCGTTAGGGGGATGCGGGGCGGAAATGGTAAATACATTCATGATCGGCCGGATAACTTGAGGAGCGCTCAGAAGGCAGTGTCGTGGAGAATGAAATTGTAAAAATTTAACGCAGTTGGTGTATTCATTCCAAATTCGACGAACTGCTTCATCATAGTCTCGAGGCATTCAAGGCTATTCAAGGATTATACACAGGGCACATAAGTGCAAACCATGTCGAATGGTGCTATCGGCTGTCCTGCATCCAATGCATCCTAATCTTGGCCCCGCAAAAAGGTAGACTTTGTTTTGTTTTTCCCTCTAAATCTTAACTTATCACAAGTCCCTACTGGACGCGAAGCGCCCGCCTCCCGCGGAGCGCTCTCCTACGGAGGGCGCTCCGCGCGGGGTCCCCCGGACCCTCCGTTCGAGTGGCTTTGTTACGCTAGCTCTAAATAGATCTGCAAATTATTCCATCACGGATTCTGACATTGAGCAGTGGGAATCAGCTGTTAACACTTCCACTCGCATGGTGATTCTCACTGAACCACTTCGAAGACTACGTTTCCTATAAAGTTATGATAATTTGATCAAAATGCCTTACTTCGGCAGTTCAACCCTTTTGGAAGAGAGCCCAGTAGCACTTGGACTTGATCACTCTTCCTTTGTTCAATCAAGGCCGTCGAGCCTACTTTCTCCTTGTAAGTTGTAAGTTATTAGACGATGCAAAACAAAATTAAACAGAGTAGACTGGAGGGAGTGCAGGGAAGTACAATGAGAAACAGAGAGCTAGGAAAGATTCTGAATCTTATGACAATTTGGACACAGTTGTCTCGATTTGGATAGCAAGGAAATCTGAGTGACAAGAATGAAACGTTTGCCAACAAGATCCAAAACCCACGAATGACCGAATAAAATAAGTCATAACAGTCATAGGTTTGGTCGGCCTTCCGCCAATGTGAATTAGTTGGTTGAAAGATCTTGACAGCCAAGAGTAAACAATCGATTTTCGAGTCGCAAATTGGCACAGTTGATCCAACCAAAACGAATAGAACACTGTAACTTGAGAGATTGTTTAGCCTGCCGTTGTCCTCACTTGCTCTTGCCCTGGCGCTTGCGCTTGCGTCTACACCTGGCCTTTCGCTTAGACTTCTTATCCCTACTCTTCTGCATTTCCCTCAAAATTGACCCTGCATTGAAATGAAAGTATCCTGTATCATGTAATAGGATGTCATTCTCGTCATAAACCCTGACCCTACCACCGTCCCATCCTCTCTCCCAATAAGCCTTCGCAAGTCTGATGGGGTATGGAGATTCATTGATCCGATAAGCATGGCCCGGTGGGTAATTCCTCAGAATGTCAACGATCTTTCTTCTTTCTTCATCAGTCAATTTCCTGGGTACCTCCTTCGGCAGGTAGTCGGGTGGGTCCATTGTCAATTGAGGGTCAGCTGGATGCATGCCAGTGCTTGATGCATGGCCAAGGATGTCTTCTGTTTGTAAGTGGGCGGGTCGTTCCATTGGAAATTGCACAGCTGGACAGGTATCTGGAAGAGATACTACTGGTGTTGCTGGTATTAGATGATAAACGGGAGCAGCCAAGACGTAGCTTAGTGCAGACCCTAAGAGCATTATTATGGAAATCTTCAACATGGTAGCGAATTCTGCTTTATGACTGATCATAAATAAATAAATTTTATCTTGGAGACTTTCCTAAGAAAAGGATTCAAGCGGCTTGCATCACGACTAAAACGAAACCGGAATTCAGGAGTACCAGCGATTGCCCATTGGAGGTCAAGCAAACAAACCTTTTCATGAGGGTCAAACTGACCAAAATAACTCTTCGTCACTCACACTGGAGTTAATAAAGAAAATTATGATATGTTTTCGCGACACGCATCAGTCCTACATTATAATCAAATTCTTATAATCTGCGGGAAAAGTACAATCACATACCACCCTAGAGTGAGTTTTGACGATGCCGAGGGAGATCTGTACTTTCATTATTGTATATCTATCCCGGTTTAAAGGTGGTCAATTATTAGCTTCAGACAGATTGTGCGCACGCAGTCAGTGCGTTTCCAACCTTTCCTCCAGGAAACTAGTTGCAGTCCCCAGGATGTTTATGATGACATTCCATGTTTTGATTTTTCGGTGTTGTCCCAAACCTTTGGATCTATTTAAACTTCTTGTTCCACTGAGGCATTCTAAGTTCTCCTACTTCCTTATATTGAGTGTCTTGTAAAATGCACTTTTGGCACTAGAAAAGCAACATAAATATGTCTTCATCGTATCAGTTCTCTCAAGTATTCAACCACTGTTAGTAAACCTGTCATACAAACTGCCTGTGTTTTTTGGCCAGGTAAATTTTCCCCCTTCATCCAATGTATCGAAAAAAACAATACTTACCAAAGTGGACTATTGACATAGAATAACAAACAGAAGAATCATCAAAGCAGACTTGCATGATGACCTTTCAAAAACCGACATCGAGACACTGTTGGTGCAAATACATAAATGCGAAGGATCTGACGACAGGAGATATCTGTTTTGTTGTTGTAATCAATGAGGTTTACAAAATGATTGCAGAAGAAAAAAGAAGTCCTGGAAATGTCCTTGAAATAAATCTACACAATTCCAATTGTCCTCTGACTTTGGCTTGTAATTTCTGGTCCTAATGGCCATAACTCATTAATACAAAAAAATAACAGATTATAATCGAGGATCCACAAAGCAGAGAGAGAGAGTTAAAAGGATGAGGAATCGCCATTTGAAATAGGCTTTGTCAATCAACTACATCGTGGTGAAGAAAGCTGTAAGATTTGTTTGAAGTAGCAGACAAGTGAAGGATAAATAAATAGATAGGAGGATAGATGTATAAATTAGAAGATTTCAGGTCTAGGGGTCGGGGAGATCTTGTTACTTGAAGAGGCGAGCATGCTTTCGATAGTAGCTTTGACGAGATGGATGCCCATACCGGGGGAAGGCTTTGAGGCTTGGATCTGTTGGACCTTGAGTGCGGGGAGTTGACGGGCAGGTTGGGCGTGCAAGATGACGATTTCGTCGAGATTGGCAGGTTGTTGCGAGTCAAGAGAACCCGGTTTGGTGATCTTGTGTTCTTCTTCTTGGGACTCTTCATCAGCCTCGTCTCCAACACTCAAGAACCGTAATCTTTGACACAAGTCGTCGGCCAAGTCTTTCTGGTTCGGCGCGTCTTCGGTGATCTGAGTCCATCCTACCGGCGGCGAACCCGGGGGTGAAATCAAGAAGTTTTTCTCGAGGCTTGGCGGTTTGAGTCGATCGCTTCCTTCCGACTCTTTGGCTCGCTCGCTAGGGTGGTTTGTGGTTGCTTCGTTTTCTGCATGTTGTCCTATTGGCTTCCAATTTGGAATTAATCTTTTGGGGCCGAAATATACTCGAATGACGGTTCTGTGTTTTCAGGAGAGTGAATTTCATCAATATTGAGTTGAATGCATGTTTTTACTGGAGGAACGGTGAAGAAGTAACGCTTACCTTTTGAGGTCATTGAATAGCTCTGTGGTTTTATGATCAAGTTCGTCATTTGGATCCAACAGAGAGAGGAAGAGTTCTTTGATTTCGGATTCCTCGAAGACAAAATGATCCATTTCGGCTCTAGCGAGTACAGCGGGTTCGGAATGAGAATAGATGACTAGAATCCTAGCCAGGTCTGGCAGTAAGTTCCAGGTGATGATGTGACCATAGCTATCGAAGTGTGAACGAAGAGCGAGTTGGAGGCTTGGATGAAAGAAGATCTTGGGTAAGGAGGTGATGATGATTGAGTTAGATGGGATCACTTTGGAGTTGCTTGCTTTCGGTAAGGATAGTAACGAGCTGGACGAGTGGATGGTGCTAGTCATCATGACTTGTTTGGTTTGAGTTGGTGGTTGAGTGTTGGTGGTGGTTGTAGGTGGTTGTGCCCGAGCGCGCCGCTGGTGAAACAGGTGGACAATATCCCCCCGGATGACGTCGGTCACCCACCGGGAACACCCCCGTGACGCCTTTCAGAAATTATGTAGGGGACCGGGACTCCCGAAGAAGACAACAAGAAAACACCAGTAAATTTGGGCGGAATCAGATTCGGGTAACGTGAACCTACTGAATCTTCACATCACCTGACTGCTTTTCCACAAAAAAAAATACTTATAAAGCACTTCATGTAAACATCTTGAGTCATCGTTGATCTTCAACCTATCCTCCAGCGGACCAGCTTAGATAATGTGAATGAAGTTTAGCAGAGAGCTCAAGGGAAATATTAATGATTTTCATTGCATAGAAATAGAAAATAAAATATGTAGAACTATAATCTCTTTTAAATTTGTTTCACTCAGTCTCAAGCAATTAATTAGACATTTCACAAAAAACATGTCAACTCAGCTAGGATGAACCAATTCTCCTTCCCAACTAACTTGGTACTTTCTTCAGTAAAAATTCTTCATATCAGAATGCTGAATGTTCTAGATGCTGCTTTCAAATGGATTAAATTGGGACTCTGAGCATTATGTCAATTCTTGACTGAAAAAAATTCTGTTTTTTTTTAAATTTTTTTTTTCAGAAGTTGTAGTATCTTTTGATAAACCAAGTGTTTTGCTAAATATTTTAAAATAACAACTGTCACACTTATTGTGTTTTGAATAAAGCTTGGACAAACTGAAGTTTTCCAAGTGCTAAAGTTATGGTGTTGTGCTGCTGTTCAACAGTTTTAGCTGCTGGTTTTTGCCACACAGCTCTAGTTCGATTCACCTCGCTGTGATCAAGCAGACACCAGCAATAGCATCGCAGGCAACCATCACCACCACCACCACCGATATCGACTCCCCCCCCCATTATCCAGGCATCAATCCCAACCAAAACATCGATAGTCGGTTTTTCAATCTTACGAGGCATCCACCAAGGTATGTGTGATCCTTGTGGTGCTTGAGGTTGCTTGATGTTCCGATTTCTTGGTCGTAATTTTGTCATGCGAACTCCAATTGACCTCGTTTTTGCAGCATTGTGGTAGAATCGGTAATCGGACAAACGATCACAGATGTTCTGACGGTCAATCTTTGGTAAAAATTGTGAGTCCATTCAAACTAAACAAACTCAAGCATTTTCATTTTTGTTCTCTTACTGCTGATTTTCTCACTTGAACATTCAAATCCCATACTGCTTTTAGGGCACCGACTACCTTGCCTGGATTGTTTATCTTGCATTATTTCCTCAACAGTAAATCACGAAAACATCAACTAACGATGGGTCAACCTATCAATGCTAATCTTGTACTCAAAGTTTCAATTCATCTGCATTTCTTTTCATGGTTTAGATTTTGCTAAATACGTGTCTTGTCCTTAATAAATGAAAAAAATCACTGTTAACTAGCGAATTGGACTCTATTTTCCTCTCCCAGCAATGTAGTACTGAACAAGACTTTGAATCAAATCGAAGTTGACAGCTGAAGAGCAATTGATTGCCACTCCTGATCCTCAGGCTTCTTGTTAGCTCAAATTGTCAGAGATCTGAAGGAGATTAACACTGATGCAACAAAACTAATTTGACCTTTAATCCGAAATCACACTGAACAAAATTTCAAGCTCTGAGCTTCAAACAAGTGCCATTTCTGGATGGAGTTATTCCAACAACCGATTCCAACTCTGCTCTTCAGATCGATCACTCTTGACAAGGCTTATAACTCATTGATGACAAGTTACAACTACAAGACTGCTTATATTCATCTCACCCAGTCGGCTTTGAACATACAATTTGCTTTGTGTTGATCTTCCTGATCACAACAGGTAACAAGGATGATGGGAAAAAAGTTATGGTAAATGGGATTGAACTGGGTAAGAAGCAGAATAAGAGATCGTTCAAGATTGACATCATATCATTGTGTGAGGTGGAATAATGACTGTACAGAGGGGACAATGCAAAGCAGATAAGAAACAATATCGGTCCCAATGTCAGAGTGAGAATACCTATCAGAATTCAGAAGAAAGCATTAGGCCGATTACATGAATCCTCCAAAATTTGCAACCGATAGAATAAAATGATGATTTTTTACCCCTTCCAAGAAGCTCGTTCGTTCCAAGAAGCTTGTTCGTTTCCCAACTGCCCAATCGATCGAATTATTGCGCTGCCAATGCTATTATCCGTAGGTCGTTTTTGGTGGTTTTGGGAGGTGGATTAGAGGTAGCTGGCCACCTGGATTGCAAATCTGCATCAATCGAGGCTGCTGTGGCAAAGGTGATGACTGGCTATGACCACATCATGGCTTTGAGCGGGCAAAAATTAAATTAAAATCCAAACTTAAACAATGAAAATCCAGGATTTTCAAGTGAAGATGCTGTGAATCTGTCCAAGCATTCTTCAAAACACAATATCTTTCTGGAAAAATAGGGGAAAACCCCACAAGTGATTGAAGAAAGCATGAAGAACTTGATGAGCAAGGGTACTCTTGGATTTTTGTATTGTAAATAAGAAAAACAGAAGATTCAAGAAAGAAACAAAACAATTGATACAAGAAAACAGGAAGATTTATGTATTGATTGATTTATTCCTATGACTTATCAACACTAGCTTTTCTTTCTCTCATAATTTTCTGTTGAAATTTTCTATGGAAAGACAAAAGATTTTATTGAAGAAAACCTCAAAATTGGAACCCATGTATGATTTTTCAAAGAAAGTGTTCAATACATTCTGTCTACCTGACTTGAACATCCAAATCTTCAAGCATCTCCAAAGTAATGTATCAAGATTGGTACCCGTATCTTTCAAAATGTCATCTCCTGCTATGTCAATTTTACATTCATTTAAATCTTGTGGAGTCAATTTAAATTGGGGATCACGATTTCGACTTTGAATAATTTGGATGACTTTGATGGCAGATTCAAACAATTCTTCATCATGTCTATTTGTAGATGTTTCTTCAATCTTGGGAAAAATTGTGCCAATCATTTCTACATAGAACAAAAAAAGAAAAAACACTTTTTTGAATTTTCCCGGTTTCTTAGGGATGGCTTGCTCAAGATCAATCCCAGTTCTTTGATTCCAAAAGGCAATCCATGCATTCCGGTTGTTCAATAGCTTTTCAAAATGAGTTTTTGTATAAAAATTTCTTGGAAGTTTTGGGTTGCAAAGTGGATATCTGTACCTTAACTCGATCGGTCCATCCCTCTTCATCATGAGGTTACAATTTCTGATTATATCCGAAGCATTTTTGAAATTGCTTTCGACAATCACGATCTTAGAATTTTCATTCAGCTTCTTTATTTCTTCAATTATCCTTTCGTCCTCTAGCAATGGGTCGTGTGTTCTAAGAATCTCGTGAGCAAATTCAAGTCTCAGCAGCCGATCACCCGTCGAAGTTTGACCTTTGATAACATTGACGCTTTGTGAAATCGTGACAATTTCTGTGGCAGTATCCTTGGGCTCCATCACATTTTCTATCTGAACAAGTGTTCGATCACTTTGTTTTGTCCCATCAGAGTATGAGGTCTGTTTCAGCATCTCGTCAAGTCTGAATGAGGCTTCTGGTGTCATCTGCATCGGTTTGATCACTGAAGATCGAAGCTGGTCCTCGAGATTCTTCAAATAACTGTGAGGGGTATGAGTAGGATCAATTGAGAGAAACCTTCCTTCTCTTTCTTTCTGAATAGGAGGCTGAATTCCATCAGTTTGCATCGTCCTATGAGACAATATAGCCTTCCTTGGGGTCTCAAAAGCGTTGGCTGGGCTGCCTGCCGCTGAGTTCTTTCCAAAATCTCTCAGTAAATCAAGCGTTTCGGGTGGTTTTCGGGATTCAGGGTGATTGTTAAAAAGTTCATCTTCTCGATTTCTTTTGTTCGACGGGGTTTGGATGTGAGTTTCGAGCGGTACAAGATTCGGCCGATGGTGAACCTCCCCAGAAGAATAGGTTTGTAAGTTACTCCCTCTGCTCGCTCTCGAGGGCAACGAAGGGCTGGCATTTGTCATGTGGCCAAATTGTGACTTTTGAACTGGGGAAGAGCCTGCATTCAAATTTGAGCCATCCATGACTTGGGGAGCAGTAATACTAACGCCAGTGTTGCCTGTTCTTTTCTTGGAATGTCAGTCGTAAACATTTATGAACAGACAGAGCATGGTGAGTCACCTACCGTTCAAATGAGAAGTTAAATCCCTAGAACCTTGCAGCGATTTGTTCATCGCAGTGCAGGTGGTGATTGTCGCGAAAAAGGCTAGCTGGCGGTTGCAGAGCTTCATGATCCTTGATTCTCCTTAGGTGAGGATGATATGAATATATACTAAATAGTTATGAACTATTCTGGTTTTTTGCCAATCCCTCACAATCCTCAATGCTCTGCTGAGGAAAGCCTTCGCATGAAGAATTAGGCAATCAACAAGCCCAAACACACATAAAAACACTTGAGCAAGGAGAGGAGAGCATGTGCATGAGGACTAGCATCAGTGCTCAGCACTTTTCTTTCAAACATGCAAGACTAGAATCTCACTTGTTTCTTCTTGGTTTCAACTGCACTTGAGATGACCTCTTCACGGGGAAGTTAATCTACTTATCAGCTAGCTTACCTACATAGTCATTGGGCCTAGATTGTGGGGCTCTTTCTTTTCACTAAGTATGTCACCGGTGTGTACAATTTATGCTTGGAACTTGAAGGGTGAGTAGAATGATTGGAAGGCTAAGTTTCTTGTTTGTTTCATTTCTTGGAAGGCATCATCAATTTTTGAAATGGAATATCAGCATCACCAATGCAGTGGCGCGCGAATCAATCTGCCAGTCATGCCATACTTAATGGCAATCTTTCCATCTAATGTTTCCCCTGGTTTCTGAAAATCTGGCTCTGAGTGTCATCATTTAGAAACAGTTCCATTTATTCATCATATTCACTACAGTTAGTCATGGCCAAATGCCTCGGAGTCGAGTTTTTTCAACAGTGCTACTTGCATGTGATGGATAACTTGGCCTCAAATGGCTCTGAGTCTAGCCAGACAGTAAAATTGAAGATGGAGCTCATAAATTGTCTGTGGGAATTGATTGGAAAGGGGTCACGTAATTGCCAAGACATGGAGCATGGGGGTCAGAGTGGTCGGCGTCACCCCCTTGGGAGCGGCAAAGTGCGCGCCAGGGTCTAGACTCTTTGTCTGATCGCAGAACAAGCTTTCACCTCACTTTAAGTCACACTTCGCTTTTCTGACCATTGGAGCAATTCTCGAGAACTCAATTAGGAAGACGATGGCGGGAAGGTTGGCGTTCAGTCATGCACAGAAAGCGCAAGCGGCATCAGCCTATCGAGTAAGTCAATCCAAACCGACCCTATACTTCTACAACGAAAAAAAAAAAATGGAATTGAATGGCTCCCAATGATTGATAATGATGATATTCAAATTGCGATGTGTGTTTAGAACTTGATCCGCTCCTCGAAATTCACCTTTGACTCGGATCCACAAACCTACCGGCAGTTCCTCGTCCGAGCGAAAGAGCTCTTCTCGACGAAAGTGCTGAACCCAACCTATCTCCTTACAAGCCACGCGGATCCGAAGGTCGCTGCCTCAGCAAGTAATGTCCCAGAGGAGGTCGTGATGCGGGAGAGATTCGAGGACGAGCTCCGGGGTGTCCTCGAACTCTCGAAATATTTGACCCGGAATATCGTCCAGGGGAAGCACTCCGAGGATGGAAGACGATTGGGTTAGTGATCGAGCACGATGGTTGAGCCTAGTAAAAACAAAGAGAATAGTTCCCAGATGACTGACTGATGAGTTTGGACTGGTGACCATAAAATCCCTCACATTCGTTTGACGGTCTCTCTCAGTTCTGAGATTCACCGACAAGACAGAGGTCGGCGATAACTCGACGATCAAGAACCCCGGATCCACTGCCGCCTGCTTACCCACTTCGGGATGTTGCGGAGGCTCACACGACTCCCCGTCCACAACACCTGACCCTCCTCCCTCACGGCTCAGTCAAGCCGCACTGGAAAGACGGGAAAAAAGGAGACTCAATAGACTTCAACAATCTTCATCATCGTAAACAAAAGTCCGTACATCGTCTCATGTTTTTTTAAGATTCAAATGTTCTTCTTTGATCACTCAACTTGTGAATTTTGGAAACTATACATAAATATTTTTTGATTCCTTCGTCCGTTCACCTGCTCTTTTCATCCTCACCGAAAACCCCACGTTTCAGTTTGTTTAATCTTGTTAAGAATTCGCATTGCTTGTCTCCAATAGACCCTCTCCGTCACTCTACCCTATTTCATAGTAAATAATACCGGAAAACTTTAATATTGTTAGTGTCGAATATGCATGGTCCTTCCCGCGCTCGAATGAAGGATTTACCAAGACGGCCGGCTGACCCTGACCATGAGATGATCAGGAGATGGTAAAGCTACAACGACATGACAAAGAGAACAGCGTGAGTGGATAAGTTGACCATGAATGTACCCACATGGATGTTTGAACAGGACTTAGGGGCGCAGACGTACCCCCATGGATGTTTGAACAGGACTTAGGGATGTGATTACATACCATACAAGACATCATGATTGTCTATATGACTAACCGACAACAATGTATGAAAGCTATGTATGTGCAATACACGAGTTAGTCTCCAGGCACCACAAAGACTTGCTAAACCTCCTCGTTTTACTAACTAGAGTTATGAAGAGCCATAAAAACCGATGCTTGTGTGTATACAATACAATCTTATTTCTCTCGATATACATATACAAAAAAATTGAACCTGATACCCTTTCGCTAAAGAAAAGTAGAATGGATGATTTAGGTAGAGAAAGAAAGGGCAGCAGAGAGAAAGATGATGATGATGATGATCGTGATAATGGTGTGAAATAAGAAATCTTGCTTTTTTGAGATGGTAGAAACAGAACCAACATTATATGGGTGCGTGTTGGAGATTTTTTTTTTCTTTTTTGTTTGAGCTCACAATGAAACAAAAAGAACAAAAAGAGGATTTATCTGTAGTGATGTCTATTGACCAGGCAAAGGCAGACTAGCGGGAAGGTTGTGAGAGTTAGGGGAAGAGTTGGGAGGGTAAGCGGGCCAAGCGGGGTTGAGTTCCGGCCTATGATTAGCGTCTCCCTGGGGAGCTGAGGTTGGATTACGTGCAGGAGATGACTGAGGTTGAGCGTGTTGGGAAGAGTTGGGCGGATGAGATGTATGGACCGCTGGGTTGTTCGGCAGGGCTGCAGTGCTCGAGGCGTGGGCTGCTAGCTGCTCGGCCGAATAGGCATACCTGTTCCCAAAGATAAACAAATTAGTAAGTACTTCAAGACCACTCGTTTTCGGATTGCATTCTCAATCGGTATAATTCGGACCGCTAACCAGTTTCCATCTGATGCTAGGTAGAACCGACTAGTATCGAGTCCCTCGGGAGGGACGATATCACGAGGCGGATACGGCTGATTAGGAGATGCCGGCGGCCCTGTTGGTCGCTGATAATGCTGGTTTGACAAGGGTTGATGAGCAGGATGAGAAGCCTAAGAAGAGGAGTGTATGTCAAATCGTGTATTCTTGCCCATCCCATCAATTATTGGCGAGTTTTACTCACCTGGTCGTAAGAATAAGTAACTTGCGGATAAGGCCCTTGGGAGCCATACATGTTGGAGGACATATGGTTTTGGTTAGGCTGTGTGTACGTTTCCGCTGCAACTGTATGATGTGAAACAGATGAGTAGCTACTCTGTGATTTGGATGATGCAGCGAGAACTGATCTATACCTCCTGGGTGATGGACCGCCAAGCTTTGCTCAATCATTGTATCATAGGTAGTCTTGGCTTTCATGAATTTGTTGTTGATCTGCAATAATTCAGCTGGTAAGAGCGGAAGAGAATCAAGATCATCAGAATTTCAGTGAGCGGTTGACTGGGTAGAGAATGGGTTCAGACCTCTCTTCTGGCTATATTTTTCGATCAACCGAACGATCTTAGGTCGCATCGATAGGGTTCGTTGATAGAGCTCGGACAGTTCATCATTGTCAGCCAGATTATCCCGCTTAGCATCCAAATTATTCATCATCTGTAACAGTCGATCAATTTCGCAAGCCTGTGCGAATACGGCCGCCTCAGCTTCCGCCTCTCGGGTAAGCGCTTCCGGAGATGGGTCTGGGATAGTTTCCTAAAGGATGACAAGTTCAAACCCGGAAAGAGGCGTTTCACTAGTAAGTTATACTGCTTCTCCAATTCTGGCGGAATAATCAAGCATGAAATAGGCCTAAAAGGAGATTGGGAACCCACAATGTAATTCACTGGGAAGATACCGATCTGCCCGCGCAATTCTCCCTTCCACCAATCTTTGTAGACTGAGTCAATTACTCGGATGATATCACCCTCCTTGAACGATAATTCGCCTTCCTCGTTAGGTCCGAAGTCGTACAATGCTTTGACTTTTTTGGGAGCTGGTCTACCCTTAGTGCGTACAGGGTGAAGATCGGAGCCAGTTGCGGGACCGAGGGGGATGTTATCTGAGTCTGGATGAGAGTTTTGAAGAGACATCTGAGCCATAGCATCGATTGGAGCTTGATGATGGTGATTACCGGCGGGCGGTTGAGAGCTTGCTCGATTTACAGGGGCCGGGTGAGGTGTGGGATCTGGAGCAGTATGGCCACTCGCCAGTGGTGGGTTTCCGAATCGAGCCTGGGATGAGGATGGTATGTGACCAGCCGGACCGATGTTGGATTGTGTGTCGAGCGTGCTCGCTGGGAAATTTCCGACGCCGGCCATGTTCATCCATTCCGCTTCACGTTCGGATTCGGCCAAGGCTCGCTGGAGTTCCTCTTCCTCTCGTTTCAACAGTTCATCCGGCTAAGAAAAACGTGCGAGAAAAGGTTACTTTCCATAGCAAAGAAAAAAAAAACTGAAGTACATCTATTAGATTGTAAGAAGGGGGTTATATGCTTACAGGATGGGTGGCTGGTGGTGGTTCCTCTTCGTATTGGTGGCCTTTCTCCTTAAGCTCCTCGACAGTTTCTTCCACCAGACCGAGGTGAGGTTTGCCGTGGAAGTCATCGACCCAGGATTTCAGACACTGTAGGATCCTCTTTTGAACCTTCTCATGCGTATAGCGATCGAGTACCAAGCCTGACAAGACTTTCATGAACGCCCTACTGGAGACCTCCTTATGCAAATTTTCGTTTGTGTTCTTGACCAGGGATTCGGTGAGGGTCAGACAGAACAATTGGACGTTCGCATTTCGGTGTTGGAGTCGCTTCTGGATCGAGGCAATACAATCTCGGGGGCCGGTCGGACTGGTATCTGTCAGTACCTTATCACAAACTTGGATGAATAGCGACCAGTTCTCCGAGGTTTGTGCCTCATCAGTGGCCTTCAGGACGACCTCGTCATATGGGTTGGGTGGTGTGCCACGAAACATTTCTGGGTGATGATGGTCAGGTTTTCGGGTGATATCAGGATGGTTGTTGGCGTTGCAGGATAGTAGAAGATGGTCAACAGACTTGTCGAAGGCTGGCTGGGTGATTCCAGTCAGGCAGCAGTGTCGAGGGGGCTGTGAAACCTTGATCGGGGGTGTCGAAATGCATACTATCAACTTAACACCTGATCGACTACAAACTAACTTAGTGCTCACAACACCACGCAACATCACCACAGATTTCGTCATTCACTAGGAGTAAAATAAGATTCACCTTAATACCCATGGTGACCATGATCATATCAAGAAGAACCTGGATCAGCTGTTTGGTTATTGGAGGAAGTATGTAATACATCATACTAAGCAAAATCAGTTTAGAATTCTTGGAAAAGAATCATTTTGCCATACTTTCTCTTGATACCAATTCCGTTTCTGTGAGGAGTTTGTATTCTTTAGGAGTCGACTTTCACTCCAATGTGGCAATGAGCATATGTGCACACATTGCTCTTCTAATCTACCCAAATTCCAATAGGTGAGTACACCATAGCTACCAGCCAAAGAGCACCTAACACCTTCAAAAAGGAATACATAGAAATGCATCTACTGGTTCAAAGTGGAGAAAGTGTAAAAAATATACAATTACAAACCAACCAGTTAGACTAATGGTACATTTGGATCATGTATATAGCAAGTAGGAAGTGTGGCTGGTGATTTCACAATCAAATACCAAGTTCTTAGTCCAACCATAAATTAGTTCATTCATCATTAAAAACAGAATGTCTCAATGGTAGCTCGGCAAGCCTTATAGTTATTTATAGAATTAAAATATCCCATACTGCATGCTTTTTGAAACACCATCATGAGGAAATTATGACTGTGAATGAGATAGACAAGAGAGAGGGTTTTTTTGACTGGTCTTTATATGACACTTGACTCACAGAGGGACTCAGAGTAGACACAATTTGAATATGGGAAAGAACCAACAGTGCAACAGAGACAATACAAGACGGTATCAGGCGTTTATTTGTATTGTCTCAGGATTTGAATACCCAAAAATACCAGATTTGTGTTGGCTCACTTTCCTGAGACAATACACATGTATTGTCTTTGAAAAGTGATACAAGTATTCTGTATCATCTCAGATGACTGATCCCACCAAAACCGTATTTGATACACAAGATATTTGGCTGTATTGAAGAAAAAAGAGAAACAACAAAGACAATTTTTTTTTTCATTTGTAAATCCAAATCCGAGACAATGAATTTTTTCACCAACCAAAAAAATACTGATACTGGTATCAGGCTCAAAATTAAGACAATATGATCCAATACAAATACATGTCTTGTATCTGTTGCACCGTTGAAAGAACCAATGAGTTTTCATTTACTTGGAAAATATCTATGTTTTAAATAGACTATTTACAAAGTGATGAAACTGTGGTTGAGATATTTGAATATGCAATATAACAACAAGCCTACAAATTCAACAAGCTCAAGAATACAAGTGTCACTAAAATAGCTGATAATTCATACTAACCAGGGTTTTTTGACTACAAGTATGTTGATCAGACATGCATAATTTAGATTAAAAACAGGCTATAATGATAAATGAAAACATGAGAGGAGAAATAAAACAAGTGTGATTTTGGGAATGAGTAAAGAAGATATCAAAATTTCAACACATCACATCTACTATACAAACACTAGTTTCCACCAAAGTGTGCAATGTCAAATCAATCAGCACTTGAAAAAAGGTTTTATATATAGTTACATAAACTCTGTTTTTCAACATCCATAGCTTAGAACACACAGGAATTCTTAGGCCCCGTTTGGCCGCAAATCATTATTTGTGATTTGGCTAAGTTTGGCTGGGATTTGGACTGTGTGATATGAAACAATATAAGGTTTTTGCACAAACTCCTGCCAAACCTCAACTCAAAATTACAAATCATGGACGGCCAAACGGGGCCCTAGTTTTTTGTTTCTTTATTCTATGAATTCACAATCCAGGTAAAATGAAGTCACTATCATCTTGAATGACTCAATCATGTTTGTAAAATAGCACAATCAAGTGTCAGACTTATACTACTTACTACATTCTGTAGTGTTATAAGTTGTAGACAAAATGCTAAAGCAAAAAATGAATTAGTTGTCAGCAGTGGATCTTGCGTATAGACCAAGCTGGACAAGGACAAGAGTGATATAAATATATTACTAGTAAAGATAAAACTAAATACAACAAGATAAAAGGAAAAGGAGGAGAAAGGATTATTCTAATTTTTTTAGTTATTTGTTTATTTGAAGTTTCTTATATTCTTAGAGAATATTTATAGCTGGTAAAGAAACACCTAGGCCTCTATCCCTAAAGGTAGGGATAGGATCAATCAAATATAATGATTGTGATGATTTTTTATCCAGTCAATAGACATGGAAGGGTTATTAAAATCAAACCCAATCATTCATTTAATTTTATATAGTTTATTCAATCTTTTGATGTTTATAAATTAGGATTAATTTTTTGTATGAGAAGTAAGAATGAGTAGAGTGTAAATGAGAAGAAAGAAACACAATATGATAAGATTTCTTTATTCTAAATCAAAGGTGATAGTTACTTACTTCAGAGGATCTGAAGCAATATCTCAAATGCGGAAGAGTAGCAGTTTTGGAAATAGCGGTTAAGGTTGATCTAGGGATAGTAAGAATAAAACAAGAGTTGATCAAAATTACTTATCTCAAAATTAATTATATAGACACTTAATGGTAAAGAGATTAGATAGAATAAGACAATTGGAAAAGGTTATATTCAGATGAGTTATACTAAGTAATTACCTTTATTTTTTGGTGTCTCAAAAGTAATTATGAGAGGTAAGAAGATTTTTTATTGCTGAAGAGGGAGGAAGGACTGTTCCGGCCTCTGGGGTTGACTATTTTGTACCAGTCCTTCTTCCAAATCTTGGTATTGTTTGCCTTGCCTTGATTTGATCATCTTGCAAGGCTGAAGTCATCTTTTTTTGAAGATTGCTTTTAATATTCAAAGGATTTGGTGTTCTTTGATTAATTTTAATTTTGAGAGATCACCTCTCTGTGAAACCTCTAACATGTAAGTGAAATCTACCTTAATTTCAATATTATTATTTTTTATTCGTTTTAATTGTTTTGTGAAACCTTTAGGACATGTTAAAATGTCTCTAAGGTTGACATTAGTCCTACTTACATTACTCAGGAAAGATCAACTGAGGCTTACCCAGGCTTACTGTAGTTATCAGCTAGGGAAATCCAAGACTCTGACTTTCAAGTCAAGTTTGGAATGATAAGAAAGAGGTAACAAACAATAGATAACAGTTCAAGTTACCAATGTTTATACCAGAGTAAGGGTTTAAGGAATTTGAGGCCTTGTTTGGCAGCATTATAATGTGAGTGACACAACTTCTATTCTTTTGCCTGCAGCCGTAATTTTCTTCTTATTATGTTTATTTCATATTCATCTCAATCATCTCATCATTATTTGTCTCACCTTCATTGTCCACAGGTATGCCTGCAGCCTAGGCCACATTTATATTTCTTTCACTTCCTTTCTATCATTCTCATATTGATCCCGACTTGTTCTTTCATTTTCCTCTTCAATCTCAGGTGTGCTCAACTTGTCTTCATAATACTTGTCTGTTGTGTGTTCTAACAACAATCTGTTGTTATAAGTTTTTTGGGGTTGGTTGTCTATTATATGTGACTTCTGACCAGGTCTGCGGCTGCCACAACTTGATCAGATGTCACAATAACTGACACTATATTGCTCAATTATAGTGGTGCCAAACAAGGCAAACCACACATAATTTTTTCAGATCTATCATCAACATTGAGGTCTATATAAGTTTCCCATGTATATGTTATTATGAGCCTTATGAAAGCCCCAGCTTGATATATGAGTGTAGAATCTGGTTCGAGCCCGTCATATATCAAATAATAAGAGGAAAATTTGAATTTGGAAAGGAGAATTAAAGCTAGAAACAGGTGCACTGTGATTGAATTCATCAAATTTACAGTTAAATTGCCTGCAAACTTATAGTTATAGTATAACAATCAGTTGTAGCTGGCTGCATGTTTCTTTATTTTAACCTTTGTGTATCTACTTACTGTACATCCCCATTTTATGTTAAACTTACCATTTCAAACTACTATAAGAAACAACCTGGAAGAATTTAATCCATCTGCGATACTTCAACATTACTGAAAAATAATTCCAATCCTTAAAATAAATCTGCAAACTTGAGTTTGACTGTTGACCTGGATGGATGGGTCTAGAAATTCCCTGAGTTCCTTCTTATTTTTGTAACTTAAATAAATAAAGCCAATTCCTAACTTTTAGTTCTAATATGAAATTCTCCTTCCAAATGGCAACATTGTACAATAAAAACAGTCAAGCCCCAATCAGAAGAAAATGTTGTCGCATGCAAGGAAGGGGTTTGATTATTGAGTTCTGCAACTGGAATTTTAAACCCTTCCCAAAAGGTCCCAAAACTGAACTCTTTGAGCCCTCTTGAATGTCCTTGAATCACAGAACTTTAATGTATCTCAGCCATCTGCATCTATTTGCACTTCTAACTTGTGTAGGAGAGAGAAGATCTGGATGCAGGAGGTTAAAATGGAACTTCCTGACCAATTTGACCCATTCACAGGTAGTGGTATGAAAAAAATCCTTCCCTGCTGAAATCTAAGCTACCTTTTTTTACTCAAAGGAAGCAAAATCATAAGGAAAATGCAAGAACGGTCTCCAAAGCAAAATTGAGGGAAGCCATCAGATGGAAACGATCCTGAAACAGGCATCAGTGAAACTTTTTCTGGGAATAGCTGGAAGTGTTGCTTCAAATCTAAAGACTACATGACAGGACGAAAAATGAAAAGAGCTGGGGGGGGGGGTTCTAGTTTGAAGTCAAAGAGCTAGCTCCATTTCACTTCCTAATGTTGAGGACCTGCACATCCCATGATCAGGGAACGGGACTCATGATTGATTTTGGACGGCTCTCGCCTCTGAGCTGGGAGCCGTTGGTTCATGGGATGCATCTTGAAAAAAAAAAGAAGAAAGAAAGCAGAGGGTCGAGTAATTTCGCGTGGATGGTGATTCTTTTGCCGAGTATTGGCTCATTAATGAGCAGTGGTGCCCCAACTAAGTCTATGCTTACCTAATCGGATCCCTTTGGATTTCCACCGGATCTCTCTTTCCCTTCGCCGGCAGCCAAGTTCCAACTGAGATTTTTGACTCCTGGGTTCCTGAGGGTTGCAGCCAGAGCAGACCCCCTCTTGACAAGGTTTCCATGAGCTTCTTTTGCTTCGACGTTCAAAAATCATCCAATTTCATCAATACAGTCCACCCCGACTTAAACATACATACCGCTGTATGACGACGGTACACCACCAATAAAAACCAGTTCTTTCCTGCTTGTGAGCGTTATATACGTATGTAATTGTTTTCCATCCAATGAAAGACTGCACCAACCTGTTCAAAGAAAAAAAAATCCCAATGTAACGGTTTTTCTGGCTTGTTTATGTACCCCAGCCACCCCAATCGATTTTTGAATGCAAGTAAGTGTAAAACCATAAACTGTGAATCTTCTTCGAAAACTCGCACAAGCATAAATCCATACCATTCCTATTCCTCTCCGCTTGTCACCACCCATCTCCATCGGCATCCAACCAGCTGAACACCAACCACTTCCGCTGAGGAAATTTGCAATCCATACAGACACCCTTCTGCAAGACAAAAAAAAAGCAACAACAACATCCCACTCTTGAAGGTTATATCCTGACCCACTCGAACAATCGTCATCTTCATATCTCCTCTTCACCTGCCCAGAGTACATAAAATACCTCCTTTTACATTTGAAGATCTATCTCTATCCATCCATCGTCGGCTATTTTCCCTTGTTCTCCGTTGATTATTTATCTGTTGCTCATTCGCATCTAATTTCACTTTTCCCGCTCCTCTATCCATCTTTCTTCCAATCCAATCGTCTCCGATTCGCTCTCCTCCTTAAACCTATTCATCTCCCCCAAAGAAAAAAAAAGATAAAACCAATACGTCAAAGAGAAAGGCATAAACACCAGGCCTTTTATCACACTTTGCTAAACAGGAGCCAGAACGAACTTTCCTGGGCTTATCCCTATCATTCTCGCCTTGCATACCACAGTTTCTCTTGATCTAACCGTAGTCCTCCAGAAATAATCGAGAGGAGTGCGAAAAAGAACATAACAATTCGAAACGAGGAGGACATCCGTAAATCGATCGCGTTGGATCCAAAGCGTTTTTTTTTTCTCCGTGTTCTTCGTGGTAAATCAACCAGTCTAAGGGTCCCCCGCAACGTGAGTAGGCTTTTTCCCGTTTGATTTATTCCACATCTGCCTGGCTCGCTCCTTTTTCTCTCCGGCCATCAGGAGTCAGCGGATTCCTTGCGCCTCAAGTGTCAGATCTATTGTTCTTACCTGACAACACCCAGGAGGAAGGATGATGCCAAAAAGGGACACATTCCCAATTGGCTTGGGCTCATCCATGTCCCATCTCAAGAGCAAAATTAGAGAAACAAAAAAAAAATCAAGCTCAACCGAAAGCAAGAGGCCACACTCTCCTTCTTTCCCGAATCCCCGGTCAAGATTTGAATTGAATGCTAACTTCTGCGATCTTCTTTCATGATTCCCACTCTTCTCGGTAGCAACCCCCAACCCTTAGGAAATAGAGGCATCAAGCACACCATAGGAGTCATTTTCAACCACTCCCTTGTTTTCTTGTTCTCGAATTTCTCATTGCTTTATCTAGGCTTCATTATCTTCAAGTTTCTACTCTCACACTTTGTTTCCAATCAAGAAGATCAAAAAAGAAAGATGCCCTACACTTCCGATCGTCCAGAAGAGTTCAGTAATCTTGCCAACAACCTCAGTGGCATCAATTCAAACCACGAGGAACTCGAATTCAAGCAAGACCACTCCAAAGTCCAAGAATTTATCGGTCAGCATTTCCTTTTACTCTTTTTGATGAACAAAAAACAGTCCTTTCCCTCGCATCTTGGTTGCTCCTTCTCCAAAACAGCTGCAATCCTATTCAATTTTTCAGAAAATTTGATTTATTTTGGACTAACACTATCGCCTTACTCTATCAACACATTCATAACACACAGGTGGTAATGCCATAGATTCCGCCGCTCCTTCACCTGTCACTGATTTCGTTCGAAGGAAGGGTGGGCATACTGTTATCACCAAAGTAAGTTCATTAATCACCAGCATTCAATTGTCATGTCACTACGAACCCAAAAATTGATTATGTCCTACTCTCGCTTCCATAGATCTTGATTGCCAACAATGGTATCGCAGCCGTCAAGGAAATCCGATCCGTTCGAAAATGGGCATACGAAACCTTTGGCCGGGAAAGGGTCATCGACTTTGTCGTCATGGCCACCCCTGAAGATTTGAAGGTCAACGCTGATTACATTCGAATGGCTGATCGATACGTCGAAGTCCCGGGTGGTTCCAACAACAACAATTACGCCAACGTTGATGTGATTGTCGACGTTGCGGAACGTGCGGGTGTTCATGCCGTTTGGGCTGGATGGTTCGCACTTTTTTTCGCTGCCCTTCTTTCCTCCTGAAAGTACCCGACAGTTTCTTTAGTAACCTGATTATTTGATGATTATCATTCAGGGGTCATGCATCCGAGAACCCAAGACTCCCGGACGCCTTGGCGGCTTCCAAGCAAAAGATCATTTTCATCGGTCCTCCCGGCTCAGCGATGCGATCGTTGGGTGACAAAATCTCCTCAACAATTGTTGCCCAGTCCGCTCAAGTTCCCACAATGGCTTGGTCCGGCTCATCACTCTCAGAAACCGAAACTTCCGCTCAAGGTTATCTCACCGTCGCCGACGAAGTCTACAAAAAGGCATGCGTGACTGATGTGGAAGTCGGTTTGAGAATGGCGGAAGAAATTGGATATCCGGTCATGATCAAGGCCTCCGAAGGTGGTGGTGGTAAGGGTATCCGGAAAGTCGAAAAGGCCGAAAATTTCACAATGTCTTTCAACGCCGTCCTTGGTGAGGTCCCCGGCTCACCCATCTTCATCATGAAGCTCGCTGGTGCAGCTCGTCATTTGGAGGTTCAGGTTTTGGCCGATCAATACGGCAACGCCATCAGTCTTTTCGGACGTGATTGCTCTGTTCAACGTCGTCATCAGAAGATTATCGAGGAGGCTCCTGTGACCATCGCTCGCCCGGAAACCTTCGAGCAGATGGAAAAGGCCGCCGTCAGACTTGCCAAACTAGTTGGTTATGTCTCGGCAGGTACGACCGAGTTTCTGTACGAAGCTTCCACCGATCGCTTCTACTTCCTAGAACTCAATCCCCGTCTTCAGGTCAGAAGTACTTCATTATCATTCTCGTATTGATCACATTACTGTCTTTCTATCTCGCAATTCTTAGCTAACATTGACACGAAAATACTCATCAGGTTGAGCATCCTACCACTGAGATGGTATCCGGGGTCAATCTTCCTGCCGCTCAACTTCAAATCGCCATGGGAATCCCCCTCCATCAAATTCGCGACATCCGAACTCTTTACGGCACAAACCCCCACGGCAACTCCCAAATTGATTTTGATTTCCAACTACCGCAATCTTCCGATACGCAACGTAAACCCATGCCCAAGGGACATGTCGTCGCTGTCCGAATCACTGCCGAGAATCCGGATCAAGGATTCAAGCCATCTTCTGGTACCCTCCAGGAGTTGAATTTCAGAAGTAGCACTAATGTGTGGGGTTATTTCTCCGTCGGGACAGCCGGTGGTCTTCACGAGTTTGCAGATTCCCAAGTAAGTCCCTTTCCCATATAAATACTCTTCCTCAGAAGGCGCTCAATTCTTACCCTCACAATTGACATTCACAATTATTCATGTTTTAAAAGTTCGGCCACATTTTTGCTTACGGCGCTGATCGCAGTGAGAGTAGAAAGGCCATGATTGTGGCGCTCAAAGAATTGTCTATTCGAGGAGATTTCCGGACAACTGTCGAATATCTGATCAAGTAAGTCTGTACAATGCTCAGTTCTGATTAGTGCGACATCACTCATTCTTTGTCATTGTGCCATTTTTTAGGCTGCTTGAGACCGAGGCTTTCGAGTCAAACACGATCACCACAGGCTGGCTCGACACACTGATCTCGGCCAACATGACTGCTGAGCGGCCGGATAACACCCTTGCGGTAATCTGTGGGGCTGTTACCAAAGCTCATCTACAGGCCGTAGCCGCTTCCGACGAATATAAGCGTATCCTGGATAAGGGCCAAGTGCCCGACAAGAATTTGCTAAGGACAGCTTTTACTCTCGATTTCATTTATGAAAATATCAAATACCAGATTCTTGCCACACGCTCGGCCGCCGGTCTCTACACGTTGTTCTGCAATGGTGGAAAAGTCAGCGTCGGACTCCGCACGTTGGCTGATGGTGGTTTACTCGTATTGCTTGATGGTCGATCTCACACTGTCTACTGGCGTGAGGAGGTTGGGTCGGTCTTTTTTCTTTAGAAGCTAATCATTCCACCTTATAAGCCAGTGTGGAGCTAACGTACCCGTCTTCCATCAACCTGCGATCCTGTAGTGCTCTTCGCTTGATGGTCAATTCCAAGACTTGTTTGATCGAGCAAGAAAGCGACCCCACCCAATTGAGATCGCCCAGCCCTGGGAAATTGGTCCGATTTTTGGTCGAGAGTGGCGATCATGTCAAAGCGGGTCAAGCTTACGCCGAAATCGAAGTGTAAGCTCATGTTTTTCTTCTCTTCCATGCGAGCACAATACTGAATTATTTCCTATTAAACGTCAACAGGATGAAAATGTACATGCCCTTGGTTGCTTCTGAAGATGGTGTTCCCCAATTTGTGAAACAGCCTGGTACAAGTCTAGAAGCCGGCGACATCTTGGGTGTATTGACTTTGGATGACCCCAGCCGTGTCAAACACGCCCAACCTTTTGCAGGTCAATTACCTCCCATGGGGTTGCCCAGCATCGTTGGATCGAAGCCTCACCAACAGTACGACAGTCTCCTGAAGATTCTTTACGACATTCTTGACGGTTACGATAACGCCTCAGTCATGCAAAGCACGTTGAAGGATCTTCTAGTCGTCCTCGAAGACCCCGAACTTCCTTACGGACGCGCGACCGCAATTTTGTCCACCCTGTCCGGTAGAATGCCCGCCAAACTTGAAGCATCTATTCGATCAACATTGGAAGCTGCTCATAGCAAGGGCTCTGAATTCCCTTCTCCTCGCTTGAGGAAAGTCATAGACTCGTTCTTGGATGACGGAATTCGCCCGCAAGATCGCCAGACCGTTATAAATACCTTGACCCCATTGGCGGACGTGATTAACCGATTCAAAGGCGGCCTCAAGTCACATGGCTACCTGACTCTGTCTGAGCTTATGGGCGCTTACTACAGTGTCGAGAGCATCTTCAGCTCTAACCAGGAGGACGATATAATACTGCAGCTCAGGGATCAAAATCGGGACTCGTTGGATGAAGTCGTCCGATTAGTCTTGTCTCACTCTAAGTGTAGCTCCAAGAACCAATTAATTCTTGCTGTTTTAGATATCGTCAGTAAGACGGCCTCCCAAGCAGCCGTTGAAACGACCTTCCACGACTGCTTGATCCAACTGGCTCAATTAGATTCCAAGGCTGCTTCCAAGGTTGCCCTCAAGGCTAAGGAGGTTTTGATCCACTGTCAGCTACCATCGCTGGAAGAAAGATTAGGCCAAATGGAATCGATTCTGAAGACCTCCCTCCAACCAACCGTATACGGTGAAGCCAATCGCGGCCAGCCGCAACCTTCCTATGACGTCCTCCGTGAACTCGTCGATTCGAAATACACAGTCTTTGATGTATTGCCGACCTTTTATGACCACCCGGACCCGTGGGTAGCCTTAGCCGCTTTGGAGGTCTATGTTCGCCGAGCCTACCGATCCTACTCAATCGTCAATTTCGAGTATGAAGAAGGGGATGTCAACGAGAATGAGCCGGTGATGGTTTCGTGGTTGTTCCGAATACGTAAAGGCGCATCACCACCTTCGACGCCTCGCAAAGGGCTCACCGGTCGTCTGGCCTCGTTCTCAGACCTGACATATGTCGTCAACCAGTTGCAAGATGAACCGATGCGATCAGGAGTTATGTTTAGCATCAAGAGTCTCGAAGACCTTGACAAATTTATGCCGAACGTGCTCATGAAATTCCCGGATGTTCAACCCAAACTGCTTAATCCCGACCCCGATGGAGAGCCCCATCACAACGTGCTCAACATCGCCTACAGGTTGGATGACCTGAAGTCTGACCAAACGGACGCTGAGTGGCATGTCAAGTTCCAAAACGTGTGCGAAAAGTTTGACCAAGGTTTGACTAAACGTGGAGTCACCAGAGTGACCTTCAAGATTTGTCGAAAGGAGCAATACCCATCATACTTCACTCTCAGAAAGAACTCCGAAACAAGGAACTGGGAAGAAGTGGTTGCCATCAGAGACATCGAGCCCGCTCTGGCATTCCAATTGGAATTATCTCGATTGTCCAACTTCCACGTCACTCCTTGCCCCACCGAAAACAGACAGATTCACATCTACTACGCCGAAGGTAAAGAAAATTCGGCCGACTCGAGGTTCTTTGTGAGAACAATGTTAGTTTATTCTCGCTTTTATTGCGCAGAAAAAAAAGAGAATTTTATTTGCATGAAGACCAAACAAACTGACGCTCGTGTTCATTTTGTCAATTGATAATATTGTAGTGTTCGTCCTGGGCGGATCAAAGGCTCAATTAAAGTGGCTGATTATTTGGTTGCTGAAGCCGAAAGGCTGTTGAATGATGCCCTGAATGCGTTGGAAGTTGTTTCAGCAACAAGACGGGGTGTGGATGTCAATCACGTTACCCTAAACTTCGTTTACGGAATCCCAATCGGATTTGAAGAACTCCAAGCTGCCTTGGCTGGATTCCTCGAGCGACATGTTAGTTCATTCTTCACGCACCCGTTAATGCTTTCTTTCGTCTACTGACATCGATCCCCGCTTTGACGTGATAGGGCAAACGACTTTGGAGATTGCGTGTCACTGCCGCCGAAGTTCGTCTAGTCATTGAGGATGAAAGTGGCTCACCTCAAGCCATCCGAGTCATGATCGATAACTTGTCTGGTTTCGTAGTGAAATTCGAAGCATACAAGGAAGTCACAACTGAAAAAGGCAAAACAATCTTGAAGTCAATTGGGCCGGTTGGTGCTTACCACCTGCAACCTGTCAACTTCCCATACCCAACCAAGGAATGGCTTCAACCTAAGCGATTCAAGGCCCATGTAGTTGGAACGACGTACTGCTATGATTTTCCCGATTTATTTAGACAAGCAGCTCGTCGTGAATGGAAGCGAAGATCAGAAGAAATTCCTTTCTTGAAGCCACCGACCGATCCTCTCGTCGCCACCGAGCTTGTCCAGGATGAATATGGAACTCCTCAAGAAGTGTCGAGACCACCAGGTAGGAACTCGGTTGGAATGGTTGCCTGGATGTTTGTCATCAAAACCCCCCAATTCCCGAACGGTAGACGAATGATCGTGATTGCCAATGACATCACCTTCAAGATCGGATCGTTCGGTCCAGCTGAGGACGACTTCTTTTACCGGGTAACCGAGCTTGCCAGGAAGTTGGGCGTCCCACGCATATACCTTTCCGCCAACTCAGGTGCTAGACTCGGTATTGCGGATGAAGTTACCGATCTGTTCTGTGCCGCTTGGAACGAACCTGAGAATCCAAGTAAGGGGTTCAAATTCCTTTACCTGACTCAAGATTCCATCAAGAGACTCAAGGAGAAAGGTGAAGAAAATGTGGTGACTGAAGAGGTTGAGTACGAGGGCCAAACCGTCCATCAGATCAAAGCTGTGATTGGTTCACAGGACGGCCTCGGAGTCGAATCATTAAGGGGTTCTGGATTGATTGCCGGTGGCACTTCTCGTGCATACAATGATATCTTCACCATCACTCTTGTGACTGCTCGGTCGGTGGGAATAGGTGCCTATCTGGTTCGATTGGGTCAACGTGCTGTTCAGGTCGAAGGCCAACCGATTATCCTTACCGGTGCCAGCGCTTTGAACAAAGTCTTGGGCAGAGAGGTTTACTCTTCGAACTTGCAACTCGGTGGGACTCAGATCATGCACAGAAACGGGGTCTCTCATCTAACGGCCAGTAATGACCTCGAAGGTGTTTCTCACATATTGGATTGGATGTCATACATCCCAGAATGCCGTGGTGGCCCATTACCAATCATGAGCGCTAAGGACTCTTGGGATCGAGCGATTGATTACCTTCCTATCAAAGGTTCCTATGATCCTAGGTGGTTCCTCGCCGGCAAAGAGGAAATCGCTGAAGATGTCGGTACCGGCGAAACTCGTTTCTTGTCCGGGTTCTTTGACAAAGGATCGTTCCAGGAGACCCTGTCTGGATGGGCTCAGACCGTCGTAGTCGGTCGAGCAAGATTAGGCGGGATTCCAATGGGTTGCATTGCCGTCGAAACCCGTACAATCGAGAAAGTCATACCGGCCGACCCAGCCAACCCCTCATCAGTCGAGCAAAAGATTATGGAGGCTGGCCAAGTAAGTCATCAAACATCTCATCGCTTTTGAATTATGGCCTAAGAGAAGCTAATCTTATCTACCCTGTAGGTTTGGTACCCCAATTCATCTCACAAGACCGCTCAGGCTATCGAAGACTTCAATCGAGAAGAACTGCCGTTAATTATCTTTGCCAACTGGCGTGGGTTCTCTGGTGGTCAACAGGACATGTTCGATGAAGTTTTGAAAAGGTTGGCATCTTTGCATTATCTTTCTTTCTCGATAAAGGGCTCATAGGAACAAAACTGATTAAATTTTCATCAATCATTCAGAGGCTCTATGATTGTCGATGGATTATCAAGCTACAAACAACCAGTCTTTGTTTACATCATCCCCAACGGTGAACTCCGTGGAGGAGCATGGGTAGTACTAGATCCCTCAATCAACCCTAATGGAATGATGGAAATGTAAGTTGCCAAATTCTACAACCGATAGACCAATAAATAACGGTTAATAACTAATTGACTTGTTTTATTGCTTGAATGGACAGGTACGCCGACAAGACGTCACGCGCTGGTGTACTGGAGCCCGAAGGTATCGTGGAAATCAAATTCAGGAAGGCCAAGATCCTCGAGATGATGAACCGCTTAGATCCCCGTTATGCCGAGTTGAAGGCTGCCACTTCCGACATGTCGAAAACCTCAGAGGAATTGACTGCAGTCAAGAACGAATTGGCCGCCCGTGAAAAACAACTAAGCGGAACATACACAGCCATGGCGCTCCAATTTGCCGATCTACACGACCGAACCGAGCGAATGAAAGCCAAGGGCACCATCCGAGAGGCTTTAGACTGGACCGAGAGTCGAAGATACTTTTACTGGAGACTCAGGAGAAGGTTGCTGGAGGAAGAGATCCTGAAGAAAATGGAGAAAGCCGAACAGACCTCACCATCAGTCGTCGACCGAGCCTCTCAGCGAGTACAAAGGATGAAGATCATCGAAGAACGATTCCTACACGATCTCAGCTTGGAAGAAATCCAAACTAATGATCAAGCAGTTTGTTCGAAAATCGAGGAGAGGAAGAAGCTCATCGATGCCTTGATCAATGAAACTGAGAGAGCTAGTTTGGAAGGCCAAATCCAGGGCTTGATCAACTCCAAATCAAGCTTGGTCTTCGAGTCGATTAAGAAAGTGTTTGGTGACCGATTGAGTTCGGATGAGATCTCGGTATGTCTCTCCATCTGATTTCTCTCTCTTGCGCACACCTTCACTTCTTGCTCGAACCTCACTGACTTCTTTTTCGTGGTTTATTCCCGACGGGGTTGATATTAGGTTTTATCCAAACTCAGTAAGAACAATTGAGAAATAGACCGCTGAGTTGTAATTGAAAAGTAAAAATAAAACATCTTGCTCATCTTGTATTCTTCAACAATTTTTGTCGGCTCAACTGATGCTCAACTAATGCGGATGTGGCTTTTCACTAATGAGAGATCTGCCACCAACCAACCAATCAACAACTTCTTATTATTTATAATTTTGTTTTGTTTCTTAATCCTCTCTTTCGCTGCTTTTCTTCTTGAATTAGTGCTGTTACAATCGTAGCAATGAATCTTTCCCTCTATTTTTTTTGCAAATAATACGCACGATCTTGTCCGAACATGTGTCATGCTTGCGCCGTGGGTGGGAACAATGTGTCTGTCGCTCACAACGCCATACAATACGCATCCAGAGTAAAAACAATGTTGGTAAAATGGCTCAACTTCAAGTAAACCATCAAAAGAAACAACATCAAGTACGTCCATGATTCGATGACAATCCAATTGTTCTTCAGATTCAATCTCCTGCAGCCCAAAAACTGATGCCCGCGTAGGGCTCGCACTACCTATGACTCTGGCCGGGCTCGAACCGACGACAACATGCGATTCATTGAGATCATGTTAAGCATGTGCTCTACCAACTGAGCTACAGTGCCAGGTGTTATTACGTAACCACGACCAAGCGTACATATTGCGGAATAGCTAATGACCTGCTTGGGAATGTTGATGCTATCTGGATGACTGATTCAACACAGTCATTATCTGGATACCTTTTTCCCCAGATCACAATGTTGGGAATAGTGGTCTGTGAATCAGCCATCAGTTAGAGCATCTCCAGTGGCCCGGGGGTGGATTGGCTTGTGTTTACAGGCCCGCGACCTCGTGTCACGGGGGTCGCGTGGGATCCCTCGATTGTATGCATTGGTGTTGGAAGAATTGCCCGGTGGCTGACCAGGGGCAATATAGTGGCAAGGAGAAAGAGCCGACTGTTGTTCTCGAAGCGGTTGCCTCCTACGACCTTTGGATTTGGCACGCTTTCTTTGGACTGCCTGGCACCTTAAACGACATCAACATTCTGGATTGGTCCCCCATCTTCGAGCAATTACAAGAAGGCAAAGGTCTTTTGGTTTTGTATGAAGTCAATGGAAATCCATATCATCTTGGCTATTACCTCACTGACGGCATCTATCCAACGTATGCAACGTTAATCCAATCGATCTCCGAGCCACAAGCAAAAAAAGAAGCACTTTGCAAAGATGCAAGAGAGCTATTGCAAGGACATCGAACGGGCTTTTGGTGTTTTGCAGGCTCGTTACGCAATTGTACGCTTCCCTGGTCGTTTCTGGAAACACAAAGACCTCTCTGACATAATTTCAGCTGTGATAATACTACACAACATGACCATCAAAGACGAGATTGGAAGCCCTTTTGAAGGGGACTTTGCTTACCATCAAACACCTCAAACCCAAGCCGAAATCACTAGGAATGAACACAGCAATCAATCATTTGAAGAATTCATGTTGCGGTACCAGGCGATAAGGGATCGCAAATCACATACCTGTTTGCAGCAAGACCTTATTGATCATCTCTGGAATAAGCATGGATCTGAAGAGGAAACAGGCCCAACCAACTAGTTTCCTTTTTTCATTGTTTTCTCTCTGTTCTCTCTGTTTCCTCACATTTGTTATACTATTTCTCTTCTTTTTTCACTGTTTTCTCTTTGTTTCTTGTCACTCGTTTTTTTATATTTGAAACAATTGGAATTGAATCTTATTGAATCATGATACAAAGACTGATTTGGTCATTGAACGGAGAGAACAATACTCTGATTTGGAGTGAGAGCTCAATCGGATCTGATGTATTTCTTGAGAAAAAGATAAAAACCTCATTGATTGAACAAGATTTGTTTTTTAATATAAGGAAGAAAAGAAATTGATTGATTGAAAAAACTTCATCGATTGAACAAGAGTTAGCATTTAATAAAAGAAAGAAATTTAACAATCAATTGATAATTCCACAATCAATACAGAGACGAGAGAGAAACAAAGAGAGAAGTGATTGATTGACAAATCAACAATTGATCAATACAGAAAGTAGAAAGGACTAAATATCAAGCCTCAACTTCTTCCTCTCCAGTGACATCTTCTTCTTCAGTTATTTCTTCTTCTTCAATATCGTCTTCGTCATTGCGCTCTTCTTCAGTCTCTTCTTCTTTGTCTTCATCCTCCTCAGCCCTCTTGTGTTTGCACCTCTCTTTCTCTTCCTTCTCCTTTCTCTCCTTCTCTTCCCTCTCCTTTCTCTCCTTCTGTTCTTTCTCCTTTTTCTCCTTCTCTTCCTTTTCTTTTTTCTCTCTTTCTTCCTTCTCTTTTTCTTCTTGTAAATTGCGAGCGATTATAGCTCTTCTCTTTTTTTGATAATAATCTTGGGTCTTGTCGTCCAAATTGGTCAGGTCCTTCGACATTATTGTGTCGTCCAAAGTCGATTGAGTTGCTGATTTCATGGAGGACAATCGGTCACGCAAGATCTGAACGAGGTCTTTTTGCAACGCCACCATCTTTTCGATTGACGACTCTTCGGCTTGCTTACGTTTGGCTGCCTTATTTCCTTCAAGACGCACGCTCCCCAGGACCGATTGGCTAAGATCAGACTCTTCCTTGTCTAAATCAATGACCGCTGGGCTTGAGGTCCTTGGGGTTGAACTCGGAAGGTTGGTAGGGGTTTGGGATGTACTGGGTTCTTTGGCCTTCTTGGATCGACCCGCGTTCTCTTGTTGATTAGCCTGCCATTTTGGGGCATCCTTCAGAATGCCCCAGCAATGGTCAAGGTTGAAGGTCGATCCAACTGTGGTTTTGTACAGCTCTTTCGCCTCGGTAAGCTAATTTGAACCAGAAGCAATAGATGGAATTAAGACATGTATGTGTAGATAGAAAAAAGTAAAAAAAAAACCTACAATATCAGCGCGTGTCTTTCCACTTTGCAAACGGTGTTCGACCATTGAATAGCAGCCAGAGAATTTGTTGAGGGCCTTCAATATGAGTCCCCAACAACATTCAACCCCACCAACTAGTCGTAGAGGGAGCTCCTTGAAACCTGTCGAGTTCTTCTTGTCTGTGTTGTATTCCTTGACAAGGTCAATGTAATTTTCGTGGATTCGTTCCCAAAACGTTGTGGCCTTCTGTCCTCGCCCAACAATGGCATCTCGACTGGTATTTAACCATGCAACACACAGTTTTTTATCCTCTTCTATCGTCCAATTTGGGCTTTTCTTTTTGGTTGTAGTATCCTCATCAGGTTTTGGTGTGGTTTCTTGTGTAGGTTTGGGTGTGGTCTCTTGCACTGGTTTTGGTGTTGCGTTGTTTCAAGATTCTTTTTTTTTTCGATTTTGAAACGGTTTTCGGGGTTGCTGTTTCATTGTTGATGGTTTTTTTCGCACCGGATTTGCTATTTTTCTTCCTTGGAGAACTCCGAGTCGGGGTGGCCATTTGGGTTGAAGGAATGGGGAGCTTGTGTGAGAGATGTTGGTGGGATTTGTGATGTGGAGTAGGTGGAGGAGTGGACAAGAGGTGGATTGCGGCTGGGGATTGGGCTGCCAAAGGTAGCAGGTGATTGCGGGTTTGAGAGCCACTGGGGATGTGTGGCAGGTTGTTTAGCAGGACCGTTGGAGCACAAATTCCAACGGGGGCCATCAAATTTGGTCCCCGGTCGCGCGATAGCAGCTCCGTTGGAGATTCTCTTAACCAGGAATCATTTGATTAAAAACCTACTTTGGCCTCAAATAAGGAATCCCCAACTTACGTATTTTCAATCATAAACAAAAGACCAAAAACATTAGATTGGACTAGGGTTCAACCTTAACAAAATCCCTCCTACTGCGGGATTTGAATTCTCAAAGCAAGCCTTTGGCAGGAAGGACTTGAAGTGCATCCTATTACCCCAAATTGGTCTCAAAAATCCACCCATACTGTTATGATCTGGTAATGGGCTGAGCTTTTCTGGTTGATCTCTGAGATAAATTATTGACTCTTTTTTTGATAAAATGTAGTGAAAAAAGAAGGTTTGGGGGGGAGGGGGGTTGGAATCAAAATGCTTCAGCTCCTCCCCCATCCTGTGGGTAATACTAATCCCCTTTTAGATCCAAATTTTTGAGGGTTTGTACCATCTGACTGGATGAATATGGATCTTTCCAGGCCAATCTCAAACCCTGATCTGGTCCACAGCTTGCATGGATTCCAGAAAATTGGAACACTAGATTGGCCCATCATTTGAGAAAAAAAAGCCAGTCAGTAACAAGTAGAAGTTGATGAGGTGTTTGATTTTCCCAGAAAGAAATACTCCTAACATTTTTGCTCAGTTTTATCACCCTCCCATGAATGTGTGAAAGAAATTCATGTAGCATTGTCAATTGGTCCCAGTGATTGCTTAAATTGCATATCAAAAACTCCAGTTTTGAATCTACTTGTGAGATTGATTCAACTCAAGGAATCCCCACAAGTTTACCACAAAAAAGGTCAGGACGCCTGATGACATTTGACATGTGGGATACTGCTTCCTAACTCAAATTCAGTCAAAGTAACCTCTGAGTAAGATGAGAGTGAAAACACAAGTATTATGCAAGTTGCTGAATGTCAATTGCCATCAGCTGTCCTCACTTTTCTTGTGGTAGATGTAATGATCTCATGAGGAGTTGAATAACTGATGATTCCCAATGGACAAGTTGATGTAATGCTCTAATCATAACCACTATTGACAAACAATTTTGGGGCCAGATTTATCTCAGCTTCAAACCTTTTTCTTTGTGTATTTGAGATGAAACTTCCTTGATTCAAGCCTTGCATATCACTTACCAATCTTTGCCCTAGGATCTCGAGCTGCCCACTGAGATCAAATTGGGTTTTCTATTACAATTTATTCAAGACTTCCAAGAGATTAATGCCTGATTTAAACTCTAGTTTTATAATAACACCTTTCATTCTCATCAGACCCTAGACCCCAGACAGCCACCTCAAAGTGTCCTCACCTCAGGATGCATGGAAAAGGCTTTACTCCCTGCATCCCCAAATCAAAAGAGTGGAAACCCTGGAAAGGGTTAACCAAAATGGAAGGGTGGGCACAAAGACTGTGTGAATCTAGGTCTTTCATTCAGGGACCTAGAATATTTCAATTTTTCTACATGCTTTTTCTCTTTTTTTGCTCAATTGATTTTCGAAATCAAGGTTGGTTTGGATGCTCCCAGAAGAGAAAAACTGCCAATTCTAGCCAGAGAGGAGAAAGAAGCACTGTTCAAGGCCTCTGGAAACTGTTGAAATTCTGAGCTCGAGAGGGGAAGAATTTTTGGGGAGTTTTGAGAAAAAGGGCTCAAAAAAGGATGAGTGTCTTTTTTGGGAAAGGCTCACGGAAAAATGAATGAAAGAACCAATGATTTTTATTCACCAGTATTTAGCTAGGCTTAAATAGACTAAATACAAGTGTTGTCAAAATGTGGTTAAAGATGAAAATGAATAAAAAAAGTGGTTTTGAATAAAAACTGAGAGGAAGAAATATATGAGTTCATGGAAGAAATAACCGGACATGTCTTCTCGGTCTCTTTTAGACAAGCTAGTAAAATTAATCATGAGAAAACATACACATCACCACAAATGTATAAGAGTCGTTAATCCTTAACAATCAGATTTTAATGAATCAAATAATGAAATAGAAAAAGAAAGAGTTCAATCACAAAGACAGGAGTTGTTGTAAAAATTGCTAATGATAGTTCTAATTAGACTCCACAGGTGCATAAGATTCAACAAAAAACCAGCAGTGAGTTGCTACAATTCAGTCTAATTCAAGAAGATTCAAGAAAGGAAAAAGTGAGAAAAAGATGAAGAAAAGAAGGGTGATTTAGGGAGGAGTAGACCAAAGAAGCTGAAAACTCAACAGAAACAAAGAATTGAAAATTATAGGATTTTTTTCCAACATTCTGTTTCTAGGGTCCTATAACTTTGGCCATCTTTTTAGTCAGGATCTGTCAAAGTTTGGCAGTTGAGACAGTAAATTCAATACATATTAGGGAAAGACAATTTGAAAAATCATAAAATATCCCTTCCATAAGGGCCCGTATAGAGATTGTTTGTTCGGACCTAGGTACCTGTTTATACCTAGGTACCTGTTCATTTTTTCAAGAAAATAGATACCATGTACCGCACCAGACACCTCCCGGGGGGTACCCAAGGTACCTGTCGCAGGTACCTCAGGTACCCCCCCTCTCTTTTTCACCTAGTTTCACTCCCAGAGTCCCAAGTCACTTTATTATTATTATTATTTCTTCATATTTATTGTAAAATATCACTCACAAGTCACTTTTTTGGCATTTTTGAATATCTGTTGTAATATATCTACATCTAATTGGAAGAATCTTACTTTTCTATTTTTTTTCATATTTATTGTAAAACATCAGTCCCAAGTCATTTTTTTCATTTGTTCATATTTAATAATTAATTGCAGAGTTTAAACTATCTACAACTTATAACTAATTGGAAGAATCTTCATTGTCATCCAAAACCATCACCTTCCTTTCTGATGTTTTGTTAGACTTCTTGTTATCCTTGAGTCCCTCTTTCCATGCAGCCAAGGTACCTTCTTGGAGTAGAAGGCCACCATCATTTTGATTTTTGTTAGGGAAGTGAGGGGGTACCTGTAGAGGTACCTAGGTACCTGTTCAAATTTTCACAAAAATAGGTACCAAGTACCGCACCTGGCACCTCCTGGCGGGTGTGGGGCGGGTGTGAGGGGTACCCCCCAGGAGGTACCAGGTACCTGCAAAAAGTACGGACGAACGATCTCTAGGCCCGTACCATAGGGTTCAATTTTCAAAAATGGGCATTTTTTCCATCCTCTACACAAAAACTGGGAAAAATTGGAGAGATCTGGTGTTGAAATTCTTCACTTTCATGCCAAAGACTAGCTTCTAGTCATTGTCAATCTTGATAAAATAAAATTTTGAACAAGATAAATTTTGAGAAATTGAATTTTCATGTCCTGTGGTACAGGCCCTAAGTTTCTTCTCTTGTACCTCTCTTCATCAACTCCACTCTCATATCATCTCCAGGTTTCCTATTTTTTTTTTTCAATATTCTTCCTGTGGTCCTTGATACCCTCAAGATTTTCCCATCATTGGCCTTGTTTCTCTGTTCTATTGCTTGAATGAGGGCTTACAGACTTTTTAATCTTGTTTATCTGGCCCGCTGTCACCTTTAATCATCCAAGCGGCGTCAACATCGCAGTTATTCCCTCTTTCTCCTGACCATCAACCCTCACGGCCTTTATGTTCCCAAGTTGTGTGTCAAGGTTATGAACCCTGCGGAGTTGGAT